ATATAAAACCCATTCTTAAGCTTCTGGAGCAACATGCCGCTCCAGAAATCCAGTTTAAGGAATGGTTATTTCTTCACAATATAAAGCCCATCCTTAAGCTTCTGGAGCAGCATGATGGAGTGGCTCTCCTAAACCATGGATTTCGTTAGATTTCGTTAAATTCCGTGTTTAAATGTCTTTTTAGAGTTTTATTTGTTCTTAGCCAGTTGAATAGAGAAAGGTTTTGACAAATAATGCACTTTCTATTGTTCAAATGTTGAATGATACAAATGAGAGAGAACACTCTATTTATATATGAACCCTTTCAATTACTACCGTTGATCATCCTTTAATCAAACGGTGGAAATCCACTCTCTCCAACTATATGGCTGCGTTTGGTCGACCGGATAAAAGCCAGGATAGGATATGTTTTATCCTATCCTGTGTTTGGTGGTGGTCCAGGATAGGATAAGGTCGGATATAGACCGGATAAAAAAATCCGGGGGGGGGGGTGGGATAGACCCGGATAGGATTTCTAATGCCTATTTTTCCAGAAACCCTACACTCCACTCGCCGTCATCTTCATCCCCACACCTTGTGCGCTTTCACCAAAAAAATTTCTCGGCTTTTTTTCCTTCACTGACTCCTCCGGACCCGTGAATAGCAAAAAAAAAAAATTTATCCTATCCGACTTCAAATCCGTAGTCCACCAAACAGTGGACAGGATATGAAGAAATCCCAGGATTTCTTATCTATCCTATCCAGTCCTAACATGTTTAGAAATCCGGATGACCAAACGCAACTTATATGTTTCCCATATTGTCTTTAGGAGAAACCTCTAGAGTCCAAATGCTTCAATAACTCTTGGGCCGGGTAGGTCTTGAAACCTCCCGTCCTTGACACTTGGGCTTGAATAAGCCTTTTTATCTCTTCTAATTTGAATGCATCTATTTGTCAAAGCTCTCTCACAGTCAATTTACAGCATACAATTTCCTATTTAGTTTCGCATTGAAAAGAGATCATCTATCCGCCCAATATGCCCAGATTATTAAGCATTGAACTTCGTTATTTTTCTGTTATCTCTTGCTCTCTGCAATTTTCTGTTGATTTCTAATAATTTTTATTTTTCATATTATCTAATAAAATTTCCAACATGAACAAATGAGAAAAGCAATCTTCCATCCCACCACGGCTTGCTAGCCGGATCTGAAGATTTCTTGGGCTGGCACTGGCAGGGCGGTGTCCCTAATTAGTTTAAGGTCGACCGTCTCCCCAGCCCCAGGGTGCCCTACTGATCGGAGAGCTTGCTGGGTTTGCTGCTTTCTCAATCAAAATAGGAGACGTTCAGAAGAAAATTTGAAAGTTTGAACGAAAAAAAAAACTTTGTTGTACCAAAGTTCTTTAATTACTTTAAATGTTTTTGAATTTTGCTGCGCCTCATATTACTATGCTAGGAAGAATTTCGGTTTGTGGATATCTTATTAAATGGAGCAAAAAGAATGGTTTTTTCCCCGAATTCAGTATTTTATTTTCCTTGCTGTGTGAATGTTGAGATTTTCATTTAACATCTATGTTTTTTTTTTCTTTTTTATTGGGGGAATTGAATCTTAATACAAAGGATTGAGCGAGTTTTGTGCTGGACGACGTTATAGGTTTATTTCACGAGATTAGAGCCAAATCCGATTGAACGAGGGCAAGATATGGGGAGTGAGCGGATAACATTTTGCAGCAGTACAACAGATATAGAGGACACCACCCTTCGCATAGATTTTGGTTGTCCTTTCACCATGTTGAATTTCGGTCTTGAATCGATTAGCGGATTAAGTTTTTCACCGTGGAAGCAAGTTAAGGTGCTTGAACTAAATTTGATTCCCAGGTGTCCTCTGGATCTCTCTTCATACCCTAGTCGATCACCCTATACAGGGGGTGCGAGGTGCTTGAAGATGCTGATGCAGTGGGTTCACTGTGGATATGGGTCTCAATAAATTTGGGGATAATGACACAAATAGTCCCTAAACTTTGACTTAATGTGCAATTTGGTCTCTAAACTTTTAATTTGTTCAATGTAGTCCCTGAACTTTAACATAATGTTCAATTTGGTCCCTAAACTTTTAATTTGTTCAATGTGGTCCTTGAACTTTTAATATGTGTTCAATTTAGTCCCTGAACTATATGAAAATGTTCAATATAGTCCCTGCACTTGAATTAACAGAAGGACTATATTGAACATTTTCAAATAGTTCAAGGACTAAATTGAACACATATTAAAAGTTCAGGGACCACATTGAACAAATCAAAAGTTCAGAGACCAAATTGAACATTAGGTTAAAGTTCAGGGACTACATTGAACAAATTAAAAGTTCAGGAATCAAATTGCACATTAGGTCAAAATTTAGGGACTATTTGTGTCATTTTCCCATAAATTTACTTTAAGTCCTGTTGGCTTTAGGTATTTTGAAGACCTCTACATGAAAGGCTCAAGTGTTAAGGGAGCATTCACAAAGCAATTGGTTGCCAATTGTCTAGTTTTGGAGTGACTGCATTTGAAAATCGGGGGAGAGCTTGACATTTTCTGGCCAATCGCTTAAGCCAAAACACTTGCACCGTGCGAAGTTGTCGCACCTTAGGTGCCTCGATGTTTACGATACAAATCTCATCTCCTTCGCTTTCCTTGGGATAGGAATTTCGCTGGGTATGAACAATGTCCCCCTACAAGTTGAGCTATGAATTGGTTAGAGGGCTTGGAATGCGTGCATGGGATCATGTCTCTGGTTTCAACTTGTATTTCTCGTCTGTAGATTCTCAGACTCTGAATTTTCATTTCAATTATGTGTAAGCATCAGCTGATATCGTGTTTCAGAGGTTATTTGATTCTTCTGTTGTCTGTCACCCACCTCTTGGCTAATAACGCTACATTCCGTGTGCATTTGATACAGTTGGGATGCCTAAGAACTCATCTTCTACCTGAATTAACCAGTTTGAGATCAGTCTTTGTAGCATATGAAGATAATAGTCTACTTCCACTCACTCTCTTGGTCAAGGCAATGTCCCTATTTGCATAGGTTTGTGATGCAGGTGGGTCTTCTGGCTCTATTAAGTCGTAGCATCGTGAGATGTGGTGGGATAGAATCTAAACCAGGTCATTGTTAAATCTAAACCATGCACTAAGGATCGTGTACGATCGAAGAAGACCGATATAAATCTCTTAGAGCTTCCCAAACATTCACAGGGACGGGCCATATGGTCAATGTGTCGAGTTTCTAGAGAATACTCGGCATAAATGCCGGTGGTTGTTAGATGAGAAGATGCGATCTTTACCGCTAGATCGAATATTAATCAATAGATGTAATAAGAGGACCTTTTGTATAAGTAGGGTGCTCTCCCTCTCATTTGTATCCATCCAAACAATTGAGCAATAAAAAATATTCTCTCCTAGAGCTTCTCTCCCTAAACATTCTATATCTACAATCCGGACTCGAAACGGACAATATTGCACATTAAATCATGTCATTATCCAAAAAAGAAAAGGTACTTTGTCGTATGTAAAAAATTGAGGTTTGTTTAGCTCATAAATTAGGCCAGGCTTGTTCCTAAAGTACGGAAACATCAATCACACCCCTCTTTCCTTATGTCGGGAATGATATTAAAAGATGCCAAGTTAACCAACTCAAAAGGGAAAATATGGTTCGGAGCTTCAGATGTGAAATTAATGTCCCAGCACTATAGCTGCTTCTGACAAGAAAAATCGAACAAGAATATGTTGTTATAGCTTTCTAAACAAGCCCAGCTTCTATTTGTTCGCGTAATTGGCAAATTACAGTAAATTGCTCACCAGATGAGCACAGTGCCAAATTGGTAGTGCAAAGAGCTAGCTAATACTTAAAAAGGGATGTCAGAATAGTTAGCTACCAAAGTATGCACCAAAGTGTCAAATTGAAGCTGGTTGATGGATTGGATTTTTCTTGGCTATGGAGGATTTTGGTAGTTTTTCCAATATGAAGTGTAATACTTACTTTTCTGGAGTACACAAGAGTCGAGGCCGATTTATTTTGCTCTGTCGCAGTTTCAATGATAGGGTTATATAATTTTGTTGAGCAATTGCTCCGCGACATTTAACGAGGGCGGGACCCTTGGCTCAAAGCTCGCCGCTTGGTGGTTTTGGTTTGTGAAAGCGTCTGGGAGTGAAAATAGTGTGGCGGAGTGGGGGGTGGGATTATCAGCTTGGTGGTTTTGGTTCGTGAAAAGCGTCGGGAGTGAAAATAGTGTGGCGGAATGGGTGTGGGATTATCAATCGGGAATATATGGAGGGGAGGGACGCGCGGCGAGACGAGGGAACACGCGGCGTGAATGAAACTGAAACTCTTTAACGTTTGACTGGTCGAGTAGAGTTCGAGAAATAATTTGAAGCAGAAGACAGTTTCTCTGAAGACAGTTCTCAGAAATGGAACTCCGGACGTACACACGAGTTTTTAGATTTGTGAACCTATTGTACTGGCAAATACTTACGCGTCGGACCGACTGTTTTAAAAACTTAAATTGTTAAATAAAGTTGTGGTTTAATATTTAAATACTTTAACACTCCATTGAGAAATATGCAAATATCCGCTCTGTAAAGATAGATAAGAAATACATGCGAAGAGAGAGCCTAAATAGGCTTTATTAAATAATTATCTTAGATAAGATATTAATAAAGGATATGCACAATCAAAAAGTGATATATGTACAATACAGAGAATCAAGAGAAATATTCTAATTATCTCTAACAAAGGAAATTATTCCAGAGAAATATCTCTAACTCGCCCATAAATTGAGACACTAAACACAGAGTAGATCGATTGGGAGGCATCCAAAAGGCATGTGAGAAAGTTACATCTGTTCTCTCCTACTATCACTTTAATGACTAACAAATACCCAGCAAAAACAAAGTGGTGGTTGTTTTGGAGTCGTTGCCGGATTAAAATAACTCTGAGAAATGCAGGAACATCCATTATTCATGGCTTTCAGTCATTACATCACTTATAAATCCAGAATAAAATCCGGAACAACAAATTATTAATAAATAAACTTATATCCGGAGTAAAAAAAATAATAACCTTGAGGAGGGGAAGAGGGGTAGCTTGCAGAATAATAGCCATCCTTGTTGACTCTGTGGATGCAGCGTGAACAAGGCTCGAGTTCCATTAATTAATCACCAGATCAATCTTTGAAGGTAACTTTCCCTTGAACTGCGGCAAAGCCCGTTCTCTAGGTTCCTTCATCATTGCCAACAATTTCTGCTTGCACGAGAGACAAATTCTTCGTCACAAGGGTTCACCACTAACTTCTCAAGAGCAAGGGCATTTTCGACAAGGTAAATCACTAGCTCGAGATTACAAGGTCGACCATAATAATTATAAAATTCAACCTCCTTTAGGTACCGTTCAGGAGGTCTAGCATCTCTTTTCAATTCTCTCCGCCTGCATAGCATGTCCGTTGGGTTCGTCAACTGTGGCAAAATAAGAATGCCGTATATTGTTAATCAACACAAAATATCGTCGCATTGGAGAATGCGAGTGAAAGAAAGAACTAGCAAAACAAAACATGTCCGTGTGTATTGTCACATTAAGTAGATACTAATCACATGATATCCCAACAACTCATCCTTAAGTAGAGACTCAAATAGGTTTTAATAGTGGCTTGGTATATCTATATGGATTGTCACATCGAGTACATACTAACACATGATGTCTTAACAATTAAACTCATAAGTAGAGACTCGAATAGGATTCAATAATGGCTTGGTTTATCATATTCCATCCTAATGCATATGTCTAATGCCTAAATAGATGAAGGCTTGAATGAGACCCGAAAACCCACCTCAAACACAAAACTCCGCAAGTAGGGACATGCCCCGATCAAGAGAGTTAACGGAAGTAGACTCGCATCTCTAGATCCGTCAACTCTCAGTTCCAAATACTTGACACTTGTTAATTTAGACAGTTGATGAATAAGCAGGTTTTCCTACATATTAGAGAGAAAGTATTAGAGACAACAAAGACTGTAAAAAGGAAATAACTTGTGAACCTTATGAAAGTCAGTCAATGCTCTTACATCAGGTGAATTAAAATATGAAAGTTTGAGAATCTGCAGACAAGGAAGACTTGAAAGCTGAGACAAGGTCATATGCATAACCTCCAACACAAATCCTGTAATAGAGATCTTAGACAGTTGGGAGAGCTTGTCTAAACACAATGGAATTTGCATTCCAACGAAAGTGAAGGACACAAGATTTGCGTCATAAATCTCATCGCATTCAATATCGTCATAGCTTTAGTGATCAGCTAGAAACTCTAAACCTATTCGAAGTACAAGCATATTCTAAAATTAATCCCTCTAAAACCGGACAATTGGCAAGCAATTGCTCAACGAGTTCTCCCTCCACGGCGACTTGATTCAATGTGAGCTCTTCGAGATACCTAAGCCAACATGCCAAGACCAAGACCTAGAAGGGCTCAAGCCAAAATTACGCAAACGTGAAGCCCGTCGTGAACACTCTACATCAGAGTCCATAAGTATCTCCTGCCCTAACAGATATGGCAATGCATCAAATCTTCAAAGAAGGAGGCTAGAAAACTAGTTGGAGAACTTTAACTCATTTTGCCAATGCAAACCTAATCCACCGATCTATGTGAGATTGATATGAGATATTCAAGTCAAAGCATAACGCAAATCTACGTAAATGATATCCTCCACTTTGACGATGCGAGACATTGTCCACCCATTCCACATATCTTGTCCTCTCCTTTGTCTTTCCTCTCAGCGAACAAGTCAGACCAGTTGAAATCAAAATTGGTGACCTGACAAGTAGACAAATGCCTCCATCTTCTGGAATGAAGACAACTCGCTTGTGCTTTTGCATATGTCAAAAGAGATAATATAAAACCTCTAACATCTTTGGGCAAACAGCTGATCCGATCCTTTGGTTGAGTTTCACCAAAAGAAAAACAAACCAAGTTAGAAAAATCTGGAAACAAGATTGATGGAAAATAGGAAGCAGGAAAATTCAACAAACAAACGTAAGAAAAAAACTCAACTTTCGGCCATAAACAACCAGAAAAGGAATATTGAAGACCCATTAACCCAACCAAAAAAAGAGCCCAACTTTTGCACGATCAGCCAACATATTCAACTGAAAGTTCTTCACGAATATCTGAGACGTGTACATGCATCGTTCGCTTAGCGAAGAAAGAGAGGGTGGGATATTCTTGCGACTAGTTCCAAGCTCAATAATGAAATTTTATGCAGCAAAATTCGTTACCTTGTCAGCAGATTCGGCTTCAGAATCAGAGCGGAGCCTCTTTGGAGATGGTGAATCCATAGATGCCGGCATTAGTTCCTCCCTTCAGGTCGCTCTTCTCTTTTAGCCTCCTCGATCACATCCTGCGTCTTTAGATTTTAGCCATAATTTTGAAACACCCCCGATTCGATATCTTTTCCAAAATTTCTAACAGCGGTATCTTTTTTAACCATCTATAATGATTAACACTGTGTAAATTATATTACACAAAAGGAAACATGGTGAGAAATATGTTATTGCTAATGGCATGTCTAGATTAATTTCTATTTTTTCACTTTGACTTTTTTCAATATGAACCCATTGAGACATAGATTATCATACTTTATTTTCATAAATTCTCAAACTTAGCATAACATTTTAAATTTAGCAACAAAAAAAACACTTTTAATTTTGATAGATCCCGAACAAACAGGGATTATAACTTTAGATTTCTTTAGGACAGATTTTAAAAGAATTATTTTCCTAAAAACCACTAACTTTAAGTTCAATCTCAATTCTATCCCGAATTTTTTTGTCAAAATAAAAATCACTAACTTTTTTTCTAATTCGAGATCCTTCTCCCTTAACCTTCTCTTCAAAAATCACAAAACTTTCGTACGAAACAACAACAGGCTCTTAATGTTTTTTTTTTTTGGTAAGTAACAGGCTCTTAATATTGATAATTTCTTTTTTTAAAAAAAGTGGCAATTTTTGAATGATGGGTAAACGAGGGTAGATTTGGGACGAGCAAATCAAATCAAAGCACGAGCAAATATTGAACGAAGAGAGAAGTAAATGAATGAACTGAGTGACTGTTGGGAATGTGTGTGTGAGAGAGATGAGTTCGGAAATAATGGCTTCGCGCTTGAAGAAATTCCTTTACCGAAACAAAAAAAAAAGGGTTCCATTTAGTGTGAATTGGAGCCGGTGATTTGATCCGATAGCTGCACGGGATGGGTCAGGGTCGGACCCCACATTTGATTTCGGGCACCCAAATTTATTTGCTCTTGCGCTTTCTTATGAGTCAATGACATTAGAATTTCAATTTTGTTTGCAAAAAATCAGAATTTGGATGTGAACTGGGAGCATTGAAACTTTGCACGTGTCTGAGCTTTGGATAAAACACAGGCTTTAAATGGGACTTGACGATTTAAGAATTGGTGTTCTTGGTATAGAAGAGCGGACGGGCTTTTTGATTTATTAAACTACGAAGCATGGCTCCCGCTTTCGAATTGTCTTCTTTTGTTTGTCTCGATCATAATTAGAGTAGACTAAATGTCAACTCAATTTGGATCCAGTGTTAGATTTTTGCAATAATTAAAGCTATGTCCAGGACTCCGTACTAGGATAATATCTCAATCATCCTATACATATATAATATATTGGAGATCATCTTCACATGTCATGACATCACTTAATGTGAACAGGAGATTAACTATGTGATTATTCGGTGGTTGATTACGTCTAAGCGTGATACACAAGCCTCCCGCTACTAAGAATTCTTTTTTTTATTCTGTTTTATTTTTGATAGGCACCACTTCTAAGTACGATTCCATGCGGAAAGTCATTCACCTATAATTCCACAAAGACGAAAAGTAAATATTAATGAGATTTTCGAACTTGCGCATGATTCGTTATGTGTTAAATATGCTTGTTAAGGATAAAAGAAATTGTTCTAGCTATTTCTCTCGTTTTACACGTAATTGATCTTTTCTTTTCTTTTCTTTTCTTTGGAAATCAAGACATTTAAAATCCTTTACTATTTATATTATACATATTTATATATAATATTCAGTCTTTTAGCAGTACAACAAGAATTGGGGAGACTATATATGGACGTAAAATGGGGTTAATCATTTCACGTTTTGCAACCCGTGAGCTCTTTGAGCTTTTCTCCATTCCGGATTAAAATGACTTATAGAAATGCAGGAACATCCATTATTCATGGCCTTTGAGTCATTACATAACTTATAAACCCAAAATAAAATCAGGAAATAAACAAACTATATCCGCAGTAACAAAAAAAAGAGAACCTTGGAAAGGGGAAGAGGAGTAGGTTGCAAAATAATAGCCATCCGTATCACCTCTATGAATACCACGAGGCTCGGGTTTCGTTAATTAATAACGAGATCAATCTTTAAAGATACCTTTCCCTTGAGTTGTTGCAAAGCCCGTTCTCTAGATTCTTTCAACTTTTTCCATTCGCCCGAGACATATTCTTTGTCACAGGTATTCACCACTAACTTCTCAAGAGCAATGGCACTCACGATAAGGTAAGTCACTAGTTCGAGATCACAAGTTCGACCATAATAATTGTAAAATGCAACCTCCTTTAGGTATCGATGGAGAGGTCTAACAACTCTTTCCAGCTCTCTTCCCTCCCCGTTTGGTATCCACCATGGGTCCGTCAACTGTGGCAAAAGAAGAATGCCGCATATTATTAATCACCCCAAGATATCGATGCATTGGAAAATGCCGATAGAAAAAAGAACTTGCAAAAGAAAGTATGTCTGTGTGGATTGTCACATCAAGCAGATACTAATCACGTGATGACCCAACAACTCACACATAAGCAAAGACTCGGTTAGGATTCAACAGTGATTTGGTTTTTCATATTCGATTTTACTGCATTTGTCTAATACCTAAATAGATGAAAACTTGAATGAGGCCCGAAAATCCACCTCAAACACAAAACTCCGCAAGTAGGGACATGCCTCGATCACGCCAGTCAACGGAAGTAAGCTCAAATCTCCAGATCCTTTAACTCTCAGTTTCAATTGCTTGACACTTGTCAATTTAGGTAGTTGACGAGGAATATGCAGGTGATTCTGCAGATTAGGAAGAGAGAGAATCAAAGACAACATAGATTGTAAAACGAATTAAGTAACGAAACCTTATGAAAATCAGTCAGGGCTCTTACTCTAAGTGAATAATAAAATTCAAGTTCAAGAATCTGCACACAAGGAAGACTTGAAAGCTCAGGCAACCATTCATGCACAAGCTCCAATATACTTCCACTCATAGACACCTGAGATAGCTGGGGGAGCTTTTTCAAACGCAATAGACATCGCCCTCCCACGAAAGTGAAGGACACAAGATCCGTGTTGTAAATCCTAACACGTTCAAGATCGTCACAACAGGCTATGCGCAAGTACTTTAGTTTAAGTGATTGGCCAGAAACTCTAAGCCTATTCAAAGTACGAGCGTCATCCAATGTCAATCGCTCTAGAACCGGACAATTGGCAAGCAGTTGCTCAACAAGTTCTCCATCCACAATTACTCTCTTCAAGTACAGCTCTTCAAGATACGTAAATCCAACATGCCAAGATATAGAAGGGCCCAAGCCAACATTACTTAGACCTGAAGCCCGTTGTGGACACCTGACATCAGCATCCATAAGTGTCTCATGCCCTAATAGATATGGCAAGCAACCATCCAGCAAATCCTCTGTAGATGCGGGCCAGAAATCTAATTGGAGAACTTTAACTCGTTTTGCCAATGCAAGCCTAATCCACTGATCAATGTGAGACTTATATGAGATATTCAGGTCGAAGCGTAATGCGAATTTTCGTAAATGGTATCCTCCACTTTGACGATGCAATATATCGTCCACCCATTCCACATATCTAGCCCTCCTCTTTTCAGCTATCTCAGGGTTAGCTGCCATCTCGACCCATAAGGGTGCCCATGGAATGCATTCTGGAGCAAAATTTCTGCTCCGGAATGCATTCCGGAACAGAAGGACGTTTGTTAAAAAATTTCCGGAATGCATTCTGGAATAATTTTTGCATTCTGGACAAAAAATTCGTTTGGTAAAAACACATTCTTTTTTAAGTTCCGGAATGCATTCTCGCATTCAGAATGCGTTTTTCACCGAAAAAAAGAAGCTACAAAAAGTAGCTTCTCTGCTTCCGGGATGTATTCTGGCTTCTCCTTCAACTCTTCAGTTTCGTTCCATTCTTCATGCCCTCATTCCCTCCTTGCGACTGCACCGGAACCGTCGCCGCATCTTTCCCCGAAACCGCCGCTGCGGCCTTCCCTCCTTGCGACTGCATCGAAACCGCCGCCGCGCCCTTCCCTCCTCGCGACAGCACTGAAATCGCCACCACACGGGGCGGCGATCGATTTGGCCCTCCTTCTCTGCCGTCTCCGTTTTTTCAAAGGGGCTCATGAGTCTTCGATTCCTTCTCTCGTTAGCCTTTTCCTTCGGTGTAATCGGCGGTGCGCAACGGGGCTGTCCATTTAGGGCACGCAGCCCGCGCGGATCTCGCTCGATCGAGTCGGAATCGAAGGAACTTGGCGCCGCGGAGCGGTCTAGCGAGAACTCTCCATTCCTAACGTAGCGCTCTCCTTTGACTCGCAGCGGATCTTCCCACCCAAGTATCACTCCGCCTTAACACGAACACAGAGCAGAAAGAATGACAGAAGCTTAGAATCATGTCCATCTCTGACTCTGGCTACTCTTCGGTCTTATGCAAAAGGTAATTCGTATGAAGCTCTCTCTCTCTGGGAATGAGAATTTCTGGTGTTGGGTCTGGTTGACCTTATGCTCTTAAGGCTAGAATTAAGATCCCCATGTTGAAAACTCTCGGTCTTAGGCCTGGGTCTCACAATCATCTCCATTGCTTTTGCATTTCTTCACATTTCGGTCATTCTTAGGGAAGTTCTTCTTCTATGGATTGGTTAAATTAGTTCGTTTTGATTATGTATCGTCTGTCTATTATAGATTGCTTGTTATGGCAATGGGGAAAGCATTATTCTGTTCTTTTTCTTTGTGGCCAGTAGACTAAGTTTAGTCTTTTTAGGTTAACTCATTTAGATGTTCTGGTCCGAGTCATCTCACTTTTGGGATGGGGATTCATTATAGTGTCACTATCTCTTTTATGGGTGACTATCTAAGAGCAATGTGGCTCTATTATGAAGAGATCACTCAGAGTTGCTTTTTATGTTTGATTCTTCTTTTTAATTGAAATTTTATGTATATGTTTGCATTATTTACTACGACAATACAAAAGAATTTCCTTTTTATTGTTTTTTGACTGAGTAAGGGTGATTCATCTGTCTTGTTCCAGCTCTTCTGATTTAATAATGGAAGAATAGAAATCTAGTCAATGATGCTACAGCTTATTGGTTTATCTAATGGAACTGACTTCTTAGGAGCGATACATTCTTGCCAGGGACTACACTCTTCTAAGAAGCTGCCTTCCTCTGCTTCCTTGGTTGTCTGATTCTGTGGTATTTGTTTACCAGCTTAGTCCCTTACAAAATTGATCCCCGGTCTATTTACATGTGTACTTTTCATGTAATTTATGTCTTGAAAGAGGCATAGTTCTTCCCTTCTATATCTTTACCTGAGCATCAGCTATTCATATGTTAAATTCTTTGAATTTACATGATATTATTCCATGTCCTATGTTACAACAAATCTTAACAAGTGTCTTTCGTGGTATTCTACTTTTCCCTAGTCTATATATGAGCCACACTTGTTCCAAGCATAATTTGAATTTGAAAGTCCAAATGCCTCGCCGCTCCATGCATTGCCTTTTGGATTTAATACATTGGAATTCTGATCTCTTTGCTGCACTGAGAATAGTTAAAATAGCTATCACACCACAAGAAGATTTTGGTTCTTATCACAGTTTAACTGCTCCATTCATTCAGTCATTGCTTATTTATGGTTTTGTAGAGTCAAAAATTGTTCCTTGAGGCACTTTCTTATCTTTGCTTATAATATGTTTCTGACATTCTTATGCACACGAGCTTAGATACTAGAGATTCTACGGCAGCTCATAATAGGCTGTTTAAGTATCAAGTTTCTTCTCCTGTTAGCCCTCAAGATTTGTTGTGGTCTTGCTTTGATATGTGCCTTAGTTCATCTATACTGACTATTCCCGCATCTCTCAAGGTAATGACTATCTCTGGAGCTCTGGACCATTTGCAATAGCAGTTTTACTTACATTCACATACTAAGGCTCCGTTCGTTTCCGGAAAAATATTTTTCCGAAAAATATTTTCCGCGTTTTCCGGTGTTCGGGGACGAAAAATGTTTTCCGTGGGAAAACATTTTCCTTCCCCACCCCCAAATCCTTTATTGTTTTGAGGAAAATGATTTCCTCTTTTCACAAAGAGGAAATCATTTTCCCCCAAAGTGAAGGCAAAATTGCCCATGGGAGGGAAAATGTTTTCCGTGGGAGAGGAAGTTGATCGCCGGTCACCGCCATCCGCCGCAGGTCGTCTGCCGCCCGCCGCCGCCGCCGCCGGTCGCCGCCGATCGCCGGCCGCCGCTAGCCGCCGCGCCGGCCGCCGACCGCCGCCGCTGCCGATCTGCCGCTGTCGCCCGCCGCCGCCGCCGCCGCCGCTGCCGGACGCCGCCGGATCTGCGGTCGCCGAACACCAGAAAATATTTTCCGAAACTTTTTCAAATTTTAGCCGAACACCAGAAAATTGTGTTCCAGGAAAACATTTTCCAGGAAAATGACTTCCGGGAGAATATTTTCCAAAAGGAGAATATTTTCCGGCAAACGAATGGAGCCTAAGTCCCATCAACGCAATTGAGGAAGAACCCGTGGATTAAGACTCTTCCTGCTCTAACAAGGCTACTTTAGGGTGTGAAATTCTTTGCTCAGGTACAATTTATGTTGTCTTTTGTAGATGTGCTCCTCTGTTTAATTATTGTTTGTTTGTTGAATCGCCATTACCAGCATTTGCCCCTGAAATTTCATCGATTTTACATAAATGGAATCCTCCAAAGACATGTACATGGCAAAGTGGACTGAGTCGTTGACCGAATTGTTTGTAAGTCTGATGGTGAATGAGGTAAAAAAGGGAAATCGCACATCATGTACCTACAACAGAGTAGGGTGGATTAACATTGACGGAGAATTTAATAAACAAAACAGGACTTTGCTTTAGTCTACCACAGTTCAAGAACAAGGTACAGAAACTGAAGAGACAATATGGTAGTTTCAAGAAGCTGCTTTCAACAACGAGATTTGGATGGGACGATGAGAGCAAGAGGGTTGTCGTGGACGATGAAACTGTCTGGGCAAATCACATCAAGGTGATGTTACTTACTTAGGTCCTCTTATTGCTGAAACCTCAAATGTAAGATTTATAAAAGGTTGAGTACTACCTGATATTATTTTGAAAATGGCGCGGGCTAATACTGAATGGGCCAAGTTCAGGAAGGACGGATTTCCTTTGTAGTCACAGCTTTGTGTTGTGTTTGGGGATGTATACGCTACTGGGGAGTTTGCAATAGGAAATGCGCAAGGCGTGGCGTCGTCGGAGGGTACAAGTGATGGTGGTGGTGGTGGTAGTGACAATGATATTCATGTCGACCTAAGCGAATCAGAACAGTTTTTCGAAACTCAAGCTAATGTGGAACAAAATGGCTAGGGATAATCATATGTCGGAGATTCCATGAAATTCGGTTTTCCACTATTGTATTGTACTTCCATTATTATTATTCGAGGATTATTTGCTTTTTTTGCCTTTTGTAATATAATGTTGTATTGTAGGATTCGTATTATGTGTAATTGAGGATTTGGTACCAGGTCTTCTTGTAATGACATGTTATTTTGGAATTTCTGTTCTTTCTATTTGAGGATTTAAAAAAATGTACTAGATTTTGCCTCAAATATCATGCATTGTAGGTTAAGATAAATAACATTTTGCAATTGAGCCCGGACTATCTTTGTTGCGGAAATAGAATTGGTGCGCTGTTATCAAATGCATTTTTGGCTCAGAATACCTGTGGCCACCCAGTTTGAGTGAAATTTCAATTTTTTTAGGTGTAAAAAAAATTCAAAAAATCAAAAATTTCAAAATTTCACAGAATGGCTTAGAATACATGTGGCCACCCAGTTTGAGTGAAATTTAAATTTTTTTAGGTGCCCACAAAAAATCAAAAATTTCAAAACTTCAAAGAATGGCTTAGAATACCTGTGGGTACCTCCAAAAATTTAAATTTTTACTCAAAGTGGGTAGCCATAGGTATTCTAAGCCATTTTGTGAAGTTTAAAATTTTTGAATTTTTTATTTTTTTGGGCACCTAAAAAATTAAATTTCACTCAAAGTGGGCGGCCACAGGTATTTTAAGCCATTTTGTAAAGTTTTAAAATTTTTGATTTTTTAATTTTTTTGGGCACCTATTACAAATTAAATTTCACTCAGATTGGGTGGCCACAGGTATTCTAAGCCATTTTGTGAAGTTTTGAAATTTTTCAAATTTTTATTTTTTTGGGCACCTAAAAAAATTTAAATTTCACTCAAAGTGGGTGGCCACAGCTCTTCTAAGCCATTATGATCAGTTTTGAAATTTTTAATTTTTTTAGGCACCTAAAAAAATTTAATTTTCACTCAAAGTGTGTGGCCACAGGTATTCTAAGCCATTCTCTGAAGTTTTGAAATTTTTTATTTTTTGATTTTTTTGAATTTTTTGGGCACCTAAAAAAAATTAAATTTCGCTAAAAGTGGGTGGCCACAGCTATTCTAAGCCATTCTGATAAGTTTTGAAATTTTTTATTTTTTTATTTTTTTTGGGTACATAAAAAAATTAAAATTTCACTCAAAGTGTGTGATCACAAGTATTCTAGTCATTCCGTGAAGTTTAGTCATTCCGTGAAGTTTTGAAGTTTTTTATCTTTTGATTTTTTGAATTTTTTTTTCAAAAATTGAGTTCGGACTATCTTTGTTACGGAAATAGAATTGACACGCCGTTATCAAATGTATTTCTCATCCATAAGCAAAAATTTCCTTATGTTTTACCAAACAGATTTCTCTTTCAGAAATCAATTTCTGGAGCAGAATTAGTCATGTTTTACCAAACAGATTTCTCCTCCAGAAATCAATTTCTGGCAAGAATTTGATTTCTGGAGTAGAATGGTTACCATTCGCACCCTAAGTCAGACCAGTCGAAATCGAGATCAGTAGACATATGCCTCCATCTTCTGGAAAGAAGACGAGTCGCTTGTTCTTCTCTAGATGTCAAAAGAGACAATATATAGCCTATAACATCTCCGGGCAAACTGCTGATCCGCTCCTTTTGGATCAGAGTTTCACCGAAAGAAAAACAAAAAAATCTGGAAATAAGACGGATGGAAACTAGGAAGCGGGAAAATTCAACAAACAAACGTAAGAAGAAAACTCAACTTCCTGTCAGAAACAACGAGATAAGGGCCAACTTTTGCTCTAGTGGCCAATATAATTCAACTGAAAATCCTACATGGGGGTAATCTGTGAGGGAGAGAGTGAGGGTGCGGGGTGTTCATGCGACCAGTTCCGACCTCAAAAAACGAAACTTTACCTCGTCGGCAGATTCGGCTTCAGAATCAGAGCGGAGCCTCTTTGGAGAAGGTGAATCCATAGACGACGCCGGCATTAGTTCCTCCCTTCAGGTCGCTCTTTTCTTTTAGCCTTCCCGATCACATCCAACGTCTTTAGATAGATGGCAAATTTTCGAAAACACCCTCCGATTTGGATATCTTTCTCACAGAAAGGAAAATCATGTTGAGGATTATATTATACTTGAAAAATTTCGCGTTGACATGTAGGTCAACGTTTTGTACTTTCGTAAATCCTCGAACTTAGTATAGTATAACGTCTTAAATTCTAACAGATAAGCACGCTTTCTTAGTTTTGATTAGGGTGCGTATGGTAACTATTTTTGTTCCAAGAAATAATTTCTACTCATAAATAATTTTTTTTCATTCCATTCTTGGAAACAATTTCTAAGCATTTAAAGGTATTTAATAACTACCCAACATTTATATTTCTGAAATAAAAAAAGAACATAAATGTATTTGGTAACTGCACAAAATTTCTTTTTATTAATAATATTTTAAAATTTTTAATATTTCTTTTTCTTTTTTTTCCTTTGTTTTCTTTTTTTTTTTTTCTTCCCTTTCCTTGGCCCTTGGCCAGGCGACTAGCCACAAGCCAGGGTCGGCGAGGGCGTCACGGGCGACCCTCGCCCAGGCGGCAAGGCCGCAACGCCCTCACCGGCCACAAGCCCGGAAAAATGAAGAAGACCAACCAAGAAGAAGAAGAAGAAAAAAATTTATTTTCTATTTCTGATTCTTGATTCTTTTTCAAAACTGATTCTAGTAACAACTTGGGAACAAAAAATTTACTAAACGGATTTCTATTTTTTTTTTTTTGTTCCGAAGAACAAAAGAATAGAATCGGGTATTGCTTGACAGGTTACCAAACAAACACGATGATTGAATTGCTGGTCCGAAAGATAGAGACTTACCCATATTTCGAACTTTCAAGTGAGTTGCAAGTCACTAATCTCGAGCTAAACCACAGATTAGAAGCTTAATCCATCGTCCGTACAATATTAATGCACCTTTTCAAATATCTAGGATCGAAGGCTTAATTCATCAGTCATGTAATATTATTGTAGCTTTTAAAATAATTTAGGACTTTCCCCTTTGCAATTTCAATTCCCCACAAAAAAAAAAATTTTGTTTATCCCACGATCTTCAATCAAAACAAAAACCCCTGAAACGACAATCCGGGCCGTTCACCAATTGCCAACCAAATTCTGGAGCGTTTGGGTTTTCTTCCGGCAATCAGCTTCAACTGAAAGTTAACCTCCCCTGCAGAAGAGCACTTCGTCTTCCCGATCTGAGCATCAATCCCACGCTCTCTATGGAGAAGGAGGAGGAGTCGAGATCAAAGGATCAGCAGAGCTCGGAGGACACCGACGAAGCAGAGGCTGTCGAGCTGGTCCTGTTCCAAGTCTCCGAGTGCTACGTCTATTTGGTACGCGTTGATCATCGGGAAAAGGGTCATTCCTTTTCCCCGTTTAATCCATCGTATTGTGTAATTGGTTGCTGGGTTGCATGCCAATTTTCGAACCCTCTTGTGTTTTGCTTGGCTTTGTAGATTCTTGCTCCTGCTCGATTTGAATTGCATCAAGATACGGCGTAATTGATACTGGCATAGAACTTAAAGGATCAGTATTGAGATATTATTCGATGATTTCGCCATTCGTGATGTGTATTATTGTTTTGTTCATGTCACTCTTGATGATTGGCTTGCAAACATTAGAATTGGCAGATAAATTTCCCTTAACAAGCAAAGGTTAATTCCATGCTAATCAGCCTCGCGTCGACTTAAAACACGAGGGGGGCTTTTTTTTAACTGACACTTTATTTTTGTGTCCGATCTTGTGTATGGAAGATTATGTTGGATGTTGGGCAGAATTATGGGGCTTTATTGAATGGAGAGTTGATTTTATTGGGGAAGATAGAAACTGTGGTTAACACATTGGCGAAATATAGGATCGCTTTCTAGAGAATGAAATTCACCTGGATTGCAGTTTCAGATGATAGCAGAGCATTTTTTTTTTTTGATCAGTTTTGTGCTCTTTAAGTTATTTTGGAGCTGTCAATATTGTAAAAGGGCTTTTCTTCATGTATGCTGTGCTAAATTTCTGTGTAATTTTTGCAGATACCGCCAAGGAAAAGTGCAGCTTCTTACAGGTGCTAAAACTTGACCGATCAAGGAAAAAAATACTGCTGCAGTTTTTGTTTTGCAGCACAGGGAAAAGTAGATAGTAAGCCTGCAGTCGTGACCAGAATTTTATGTGATGTGAACTGACAAAAGTGTTAATTGTTGGAATCTTAATCAGGACTACTTCAGTCAACTTGTCAGTTGAACTGGTGAAGCAATGAAAAATCTATTAAAAACTATCTCTGCAAGTTGCAACTATCTCGAAGATGGCAGATGCAGAATCCCTACCAACTTAGTGTTAAAGTTTACGGCACCCATGTAACTTTTTGTTAGATATGAGTTCTGGAAGGACACAAGAGTGAATGTTTTGTGGACTTCTAACTTATAATATCATGAGTTTTCTTAACTATAGTAAACCAAGCATATTTGGTTGCAAAAGGACAATGGTTGCTGCAAATTGTCGGAAGCAGAAAAGTTAAATCACGACTTGTCCAATGCAGAAACCATGTGGTGTGGTTTTTGAGATTTTTCCAGAAATGAGGACATGTTGCTGCCACTCATCTCATATGCATGAATACGAGGACGACAACTATTGATAGTTCGTGACATTAGGTTTTGTGTTGTTTTTTTGCAATATAAGTTTGATACTCATTCCCATAGGAGAATGGTTGGTGTTTTTAGACTCGTTGGCATTGTTGTTTTCTTATGTCTTCCCACCCATCCAGATTGATTAAGCATGCCACTTAAAATATCTAGGGCTGATGAATGGAATGTGAACAAGTGGGCTTGGGAGGGAGCATTGAAAGTAATCAGCAAGGGAGAAGAATGCATTATCATACTTGAAGACAAGACTACTGGTTAGCATAAATGTCGAGCTGCTATTAGATGTGTCCCTTCATGTCTTATATTGGTTTTCTTCCAACTTTGGTTCGCCTATTTAAAATAGGTGACTTGTACGCTCGGGCATTCTTGAGAAATGGAGAGCCGCATCCAGTGGAACCTGTAATTGACAGCAGCAGGTTGAATACCCTTTTTGCTAAACAAATTTGACTATACTTGGGCATGAATATTAATGGATTGTTACAAGACATACTGGAGAACGGATAATGTCAAATCTGATTTCTTTTACTGATTTTTCCATTAAGGTTCTTTTTCTTTTCAATGTCAAGGTTTCATGGGATTTATTTGAACGTTCTTGCTTTGCAGATATTTTGTTCTTCGTATAGAAGAAAATATTGGTGAGTTTGCCATTTGTTGATAAACATGCTGCATTATTTATTGTTCTGAAAAGAGGGCAAAGGTTGTTAATGGTAGTGACAATTTACAAGTTCCAAGTTCCTTGAGGAGCAACTCTGAGGCAAGACAAGGCTGGTTTTTGATAGACATTGCAAGCAGATTGAAGGAGCGTCTATTCACTACCTTTCCCCCCTTAGACAAACTATTATGCTGATCAGCTTAAAGCTATGCAGGTGGTCGTACACGGCATGCTTTCATTGGCATTGGATTTCGAGAAAGAACAGAGGCTTACGATTTCCAAGCGGCCTTGCATGACCACTTGAAGTACTTCCCAGTTCTCAACTATCTTTACAGAATCTGAATATTAACTCCTTACCGTCATATGTTGTCTTTTCTGTGAGATTTTGGAATAATGTTTTGTCTAAAATGATGAAATCTATTGGCCGAATCTTACAAATGTTTATGCTGATTTGTGAAGATATTTGGACAAAAAGAAAACTGCAGAAGAGATGGAACAGCATTACCAGCACAATTCTTCAGTTGATTACAGTTTGAAAGAAGGGGAGACTCTTAAACTCCAATTAAAGAACGTGAGATATCTGGCATCTATCTATTGATCCAAAATTTAAACTGAATTGATCTGTGCTCATTCATCAGCTGATTGCATTTGCCCTCTAATCTTGACAGAAAAGCAGCGGTAGTTTCAAATCGAAACATTTGGAGCAAAGTCTGAACAATTTGTCTTTGGAGGAGAAGACCAACAAGGAAGAGCCCGTGGTATGCCTCAGACCACCCCCACCTCCCCCGGCGCCGCTTTCACCTGCTACTTCTGTTCCTGAGTCTACAGCAGATGTGCCTCCGCATTCATCTCCTCGGCAACTCCCTGAACATAAGGCTCTCAGCTCAAATAAAGAAGAGTTAGGGCAATCAAATTCTAACGATGACCAGAGTGCGCAAGAACTGCCGGATGATGATTTTGGAGATTTTCAAACAGCTGGGTGAAAAGGACTTGAGATGGCAATGTATAGGGGTGTCCCAGTGCACGGGATTACCGCATTGCAGGGTGATGTACACCGAATCAACTGAACATTTTATGCCATTTTCTTCATATAAGTTGACCAAGAAGGTTTGCAATCTTCAAGTTTATGTCGACTGTGCTGCAATTTCATTCATTTGGTAAAAATAGTAAAGGTCCTTGGAAGTGCTTTTATCGCCACAGCTCTCTCTCTCTGCCTCTTTTTGTGTGTGTTCTTACGGGTCGTTCAATCTTAAAGCAGAAGCATTTTGGTAAGTTGATCTGCACAATCTATACATAGTGTCGCCTTCCCCTTTTCCTGATTGGAAGCACAAAGAAAGCCACTCACAAATGAAGCCACCTTCGTGTCTCTACCATCTCCATACGCACAAAGGGGACTTGAGAAGCTTGCACAAGTTATTTGTTCGCCATGTTAGCTTGATCCAAGCAAAGGACGTCTTACTTGACGTACGGTGCATCCACTCTATCTATTCCTGCCACTTACATATTCTTTTAGGAAGGAATATCTGTTCTCTGACTTTGGAAGACAATCTTTCCTCCTTTATTATTATTTGACCAATTCATTTGATCACCACCTTCAAGTAACTCGAAACGCTACACTGGGCTTTTTTTTTTTCAATGCCACTTCTTTTGCTGTGGGCCTATCGCGATCAGGGGTTCTGCCTTTCTTGCCAATTCCTACGAGCGCTCGATTTGACGTTGACCTTGAGGGATTTGGTATACTGACTCTGGTGCGCTTCTACAGCAAATGCCTTGTCTTCAATCTCAATTCATTGATCTCGTCAACGTGTCCAAGACACTGAGACCACGAAGGAAATGTTGCGATTGATAGGACCGCGACCCTTCAATTTTTCTAAAGTTGATGTTTTTGTTTTTACACTAGTAAATCAATTACAAATTAATCATGTCATGTCTTTGAAATATCGAATATAGGATGTAATGCCAACTTTATGTTTACACCCTATGGAAAGCCTTCAGCTCGTGCAATTAGGGGTGATAAAAAAGCAAATGAAACTAGATTTGTGGATAATTGGTTTTCAGTATTTACGATTCGATGGGTACGAATGTGTTGAATTAGAATGAAAGTTCGTGTACTTTTTTAATTGAACGGAAGCGATTTGCTTTCGAGGATTGAGTAAAATATTGCTATTTTATTGGACAATTCTAACATAAGTAGTTAATGTTAGACTTTTACAAGTATCACAAAAAGTATGTTTTTAACAAACTTAAGAGCAAAGGTGTATTTTGGTTGCTTGATTAATGGACTTGCATGGGCTCCAGAGATCAATTTTATTGTATGATTGAATTTATAAGCTTACCATACCTAAATTTATGATGGGTGCAAAATAATTTATCCGAGTCCATAGCGAGTCACATCAACTTTATGTGTGCATTATGCAATCACGCTTAATTGATTTCGATTACCAAGAAAATTGTGGATCTTAATTTATAACATATCGTTGTACTATATATGAGAGCTTATAAAGTAGGAGCAAAGCTGAGTTGAGCTATTTTGGGTTCGCAACTCGATCTTAGCTTGATGCAATTCGAGATCGACTCATATGATTTGGAGTTGAGTTCATGCTCGAGCTACTCGAATTTCTTATTTTGTCTATATGGTTTATTGCACTAACTGGATTAGTATTCGATGCATTCGATTCGCTTCGTAGTACATTACAACGATCGATGCCTATTGTAAAAATTTAATCATCGACATATTTTTAAAAAAGATTTTTATTCTTAATGTTAGATTATAATGCTTCTATTGCTATATTTGACATATTTAGAATGATTGTTATTGTTGCCATTTATTTTGCAGGTATCCTCGTCGTACTGGCTCTAGATTGTCCTCGGCTTTGGCAATGGCAATATTAGAAGAACAATCTTGTGAAGCTTCCGGCGGTTTCCGAACCAACCAGTCCGGTTTTTGATTCGAAAAGTCATAAGATTAGTTCTTAGTTCTAGATCGAGAACCGATCCTCTGAGAACCAATTATCTTTAACTTTTGCTTTATAATTTTAAGAAGGATTTTGTTAACGGGTACACTTACATAAAACTAAAAGCATATGATAATCATATGAAAAAGTTCAATTAAGAAAAAATAAGAAAAGGAGAACAAGCCTAACTGAAGATCCCGACCAATGTTTTATATCACGACGATGCCACGTGTCAGTCAATAGCCCCCAAATAAACCTAAAGAACTGTGTCCGCACGCCTCCCTTTCTCTCTTCCTCCCTGCGTTTTCCCTTCGTTCGGACTTTGGTTCAATGCTTGTGTGCTGTAAAAGCGAAAACTCAAGCTGGGTTTTTGCAGCGAAATACCAAATTTCTGGAGCTTCTCGCTTCTGGGTTTTCTTTGTCTCGCGCAGCACGTAAGTCTTCAACCTTCGGTGATTCGATTTCAATCGCGACTTGCTGGGCATATGCATGTTTCTTCCTCTTTTTCATCGTCGTCTGGATGATCATGCCGAGCACTTGTTCTGATGATTGAATTGAAGTCTGTGGTGGCTGAATACGGGGAGTTACTGCTCCGAAAAAACTTTGCTTTTTCTGATTTGGAGCTGGTTGACGGATTGAATTTTACTGATACGTCTTGGTGTCGCTTAGCTTGATGATGTTATGGGTAACTTGGTTTTGATGCCCTGCGAAAATAATTGCTTTTTCTTGTTGTATGGAGGTTCTGGTAGTTTTTTTTTTTCAAATATTTGATGTAATACTTAGTCGAGACCGATTTTCCTCTGTTGCAGCTTCGGGTAATATACTTCATGGACCAATTGTTTTGATACCTCTCCTTTTTTGAATTTTCGTTTATTCTCTACAACGATTATTGTGAATTGTTAATTGTTAATTGTTAATGATTAGTGAGGAGCTGGCTTTGGACTGCTGAAGTTTCGAGTCTATAGCAAGAAAGGGTAGATAAATATGGTGCATACTTTGGTGGCTAACTATCAATTTCATACCGTGTCCATCTGGCGAGCAATTTACTGTAATTTGACAATTACGCGAACAAACAGAGCTGGGATTGTTCAGAAACTTTTATGTATGCTATAACAACATATTCTTGTTAATTTTTTCTTGTCGGAAGCAGCTATAATGCTTGGACATCAAATTCTTATCCGAAGCTTGGAACCATATTTTTCCTTTACAGAATGCGAGTTTCATATGTACATCTAGATACTGTCATTCAAACAATAACTTAGTTGAAATTGAAGAATTACACCTGTCAAACTTAGGTTGCTCCACTTAGGATACATCTTTGACATGGAACTCCTGAAACATGGTTTCTGTCTGGCATTATTAAGCCATCTAGAGATATGTCTTCATGATATGCTTGTTAATCACAAATTCATATGGTTGATGAGAATGGGGTCCTCATTATCTTTGTTCACTGAGCTGAATCCTTATACAGAATTTGCAATAAGAACAAGGCCTTCTATCCTGCATAATTTCTTTTATCTTATAGGTAGTCCATGACTTGATGGATAATCTAATTTGCTTAAATGTCTGTTTGGTAGGATGGCGTTTTTGCAGTTTCCGGAACAATGGTTTCTGATAAAAACGATGCTTCATATACGTTTGAGATGTTTTAATTAAAATGCTTTTGTCCCGGTTCTTGTCAGTAGAAGTAGAGGGTCTAAGAGATGGTGGGAAAAAATCATATTGCAGCTATGGTTAACTTGAATCTGCAAAGAGTACTGGGTTTTCATGGACAATCTAGCATCTTAGGGGTGACATCTAATTGTTAAACTTTGGATGAGATTATGATATTTTCCATTTAAGCTGTTCTCTTCAGATGATTGGTTTGTTAAACATGCGGCAATCGGTTGCTAGTTTCTAGTTCGATACGTTGCTCATGTTCATGTTTACTTCGTCCCAATATGCGTATATCTTCATGGCATCTCCGCTTTGTTGCACTCTTTGATGCCTTCAGGCCCTTAATTTGGATGATATGGTTATCGAATTGGGTCTATGTTGCATTTTAATTTTCATTTGAGCATTTCTGAATTTTCTCTTGTGTTGACAAATTTCATTCAGAGCAGATGCTGAAGGAATTATAACTGCCTCAACTTAGAGGAGAGTGGGTGAAGTACTTATCAGAACCTTAGTTAGGCCAAATCTCTTGCAATTAAACTATGGATGTAAAAGGCATAACATGGGTTGGAAACATATACCAGAAGTTTGAAGCTATGTGCTTGGAGGTGGAAGAAATCATGTACCAGGTACATATTAATTCTTGAGCGAAGGTGTACTTGTTTATGTATTGACCTAGCTATGACCATCGTGAACTGTTGAGGGACTGTAAAGAGGAGGGCGGTTGCTGGATCCACTTCTGCAATCTCGCATTATTAATTCAGATATCTATATCACTGTGATTGACATTCTGTCTTTCTGTAGTGCATGTGACCGCAGCTTTCTTCTTTCTGCTGTTGATGATACCATTTTTAGCTGTTCTCCTTGTCAGGTTTATTGGTGTACCTGATATCTGTCCGTATCTTCAATGGTTGAATGAACTGTTTTAGTTTTACTCTCTGATCCTAAATCTGTAAATGAACTCCATTTGCATGTGTTATATATCCATTTGATTTTTTCTGTGGACAGGACACAGTTAAATTTGTTGAGAATCAAGTCCAGACTGTTGGTGCCAGTGTTAAGAAGTTCTACTCGGAAGTCGTGGATGATATGCTTCCTCCGTCATGTGTTGACCCTGACAAAGTGACAGCCCCTGAATTTTCTGTAGTAAAGTGCAATGATGTCCAGGTATGCAAGAAGGCAAAAGTATGTCGGAAAAGGGAACCAGCAAAGGCTATCTATCAACTGAATGAGGATTCAAAATTACTTGGTGATGTGAAGAAAGATGTGCGACATGCACCGTGTTTTCGGGGAACTTCTTGTGCAGATAATACTTGTCAAACACCTTTACAGGTTTCTGCCCTGCGAAAAGCTTCTCCTGACCTACATTCAGGAAGTATTGATGATAAATCTGTGCCTGATTCAGCTATCACTGTCAATGAGAACTCTGGTATAAATGGTATGCCATCTGCTGAGACTTCAAAGGTTATTGCTCCAGATGAGCTAGAGTTTATAGGTTTCTTGACCAAAAATGATGAATCAGCCCATGATCAAACCACAATCGCTAGCTCCGCTCCTGTTGAAATTAACAAGGGTGACACCATGGAAAATCATATCAATGATACTGAAGGAAGAAGTAGGTGTGCACCAGAATCTTTGGGTAATGCCCCACCATTAAGCAAACTTGTATCGGATCAATCTGTGGCAACCTGTGAAAGGGAGACTAAAACTCCCTCGTCTTCTGGTGTTCCATTGGTCAAGTCATATGGTAATTTTTCGTTCTTTTCCACTCTAAATAAACGAATTATGATTGTCACACATTAGACTTACCTCTCTCCACTGTTATGTTTATGCTTCAGTCAATTTCTCAGATACCGAGGCAGATTCTGTGAATTCCTCTACCATGAGTGAAAATATCTGTAGCAGATACGTGTTCCCTCTTCCAGGTATTAGTTAATGAGTTTAGTTGCATTCAGGACTTCTACATCACCTATATTGATGATTGGCAAGGATTTCTTGGAGAAAGATGCTATGTTTAGTGTCAACCCATAGTGTGTTGTGCTGACTGGGTTGTAAAGACACCAATCTAAGCATCTCCACTAAACTAGATGAACCCTTTTTGCGTTTCGGTGTCTTAAACCTCATTTAATGGTTACATTGTTCTTTGAGGTCCACCAGTCCCTTGTTCTTTCTCCTATGACTAATATTGGAAGCTCTAGCCATTTTGTTGCTGTAATGAAGTCACACTCATGTTTTGGCCAGATGATTTTCCTCGTAAATTGATCTCGAATGGGCAAGAAAGATGATGAGAAGAAAAGTTATTTGAGCATAGTAGCAAGAAACAAGACTGGTAGCATAAGTGCGTGCACGTGCACTCAAACACACGTACACACATGTTTAGGGTCATCAAGTCCTGGTAGTAAGTCCAAGGATGCTGTAAGAATGTGAGTATGCGCGCGCGTGTGCACTTGTTTGTGTACGTGCGTGCGTATATGTGGTATATATGTCACTGCCACCTGTGTTCCATGCAGCGGTTTTCTTTTGCTTAGAGTAGATGATTTGGACTTAAAGTATGCAATTCCCTTTAATCTACATTTACCTGCTCAAAAATAGGACAGTCCTGATGATCATTTGCTGTGTGTGACTACTTTAAATGGTGCTTAACTTTGTTTTGAAGCATAAGAATTACACAACTAAATATTGTAGGATGTTCAAATGGCTCGAATATGAATACAGCCAAAGGTGATTTTGACACTGAACAAGATGCCGCAACCATCGATCAAATCGATGAGGCTAAACTTGAGGAATCTTGCATCGTCGTGAATAATGATGAAATTCATTTTGTTGCTCAGAGGGAAGGCAAACACCGATCTTATAAGGTATTCTCTCCCTTCCGTGTGTAATCTTGTTCGACTTATTTCCCTTAGTGCTTGAATCTTCCTTAATGGACACTTCCATCAGAAAAAAGTTCGAGATGCCTTTTCTTCAAAAAAGAAGTCATCAAGGATACTCGAGTATGAGCAACTTGCTATGTGGCATGGAGGTGACGCAGAACCCAGTAAAGATTGCAGAAGAAGGTCCAGGCCAACTCTCAACTTAGAGGAAGAGGAGAAAACACAAGCTCATGATTATTCCGAACCTGAGTGGGAGCTGCTCTGAGCATGTTAATAATCCTGTACATATTAGATATCTATAGCTAGTGCAGCCTCCATTCTTGTTGAAGGCGATCTAAAAATCTCTGATGTCTATATTGGCAGGCTAAATCTTCTCCTGCTACAAAATTTAAAGTTACTCTACGTGTTATCATAAAGAGGATAATTGACTTATTAGTGTATAAATCTCTATCATGCCGGGCAAGGCTTAGTTTATGCATATGAGCTATATGGAGGTGACCCAAGTGATCCCATTCATCCTCTCATCAGATTTGCTTCATTTATGTACATTTTATTTTCCTTTTGTCTCTCCTAGATTGGTAGCCCTGAGGAGTAAAGTCGAAGACGCTCCTCTGGTAAAATATGTCGTTGGTGGGGTCGCGTCTGAGCTGGGCATATGAAGATAGAATGGTCTATGGAGAAGGAAATTCGATGTACTTCTCATGGGGGCAAACAGAGTGTTCCTGTTAGTTTGGTATTAACTTGTCATGCAGATGGTGCTCGCAAGAGTGTTCGTTTTACTTCCTTCGCAAAATACATTGGAAGCATGCGCAACACATAAGCGTGTTTGCAAGGCAACAAAGTCAGGTGTCTAAATTACAGCTTGTGTCGGCACAGAGATGTAACATACCTCGATCCCTTAGATGGTTAGATTACATTCCCTTTGTTGGGACTATCGTTATTTCTAGTAATGTCAACTGATACCCGTCTTCTAGTTCCTCTTCCTAAGGCCTAAGAAAATAGAATTGGAAAAAAAGGAATAGAGTGATTCATCCACATTAGTTAGACGGCCAAATGTGAAGAACTAGAGCTGCCTCTGGTGCTGTCTAAAACCAAGGATGCATACAGAAGCCGATTCCATGTATCAGGCAGTCCAGGGAGACACCAATGGCTGCAGTCAGCGTGAACTTCTGGATGTCTTTTCTCTGCCGCTGTCAATAACTTTCCTCCCCTGCTCGTGTACACTGTCGGATGAGCATCTCTCCTATACTCTGACAGCATTGTGATGTTCAGGTAAGTTACCGGAATTCTCGTTCTCTCGATGGTTCTCTCTGTGATTTCTCTTATGATGTGTGGAAATGTTTGTTGGTACGAATTATCCATGATAGGCTGGGTTTGGTTGTGACACCATTGCTTCCCTTGGTGTTCTGGCGATATACTCCGAAAATAGACTTTTGTGTTTGTTCCATTGACGTTCTTATCGATCCAAGCCGCCCAAGTCTTCATGGCTATCTCGAATGCTAGCTCTGTCTCCATGTTCTGAAATAGCTCTTCCTTGTACTGGACAAAGTTCCAACTGCGAAATAGTAATTGAGGCTGATGTCCAAACTCTTAAGTAAAGATAGGCAGTCAACTGTAATTAGTCGAGTAATCAAGATGACTATTAGTCTTAACATATGGTTCGAGGCCTTGTTTAAAGGCCTTATAATATGAAAGTGATTATACTTGTGCATTGAACTAGTTTCCATTATAATTTTAAACAGTTAAGATAAAACTGAAAACAGAATGAAGTTCGATTCGTACGTGTTGAATTTCCCCTGATGCTTCCACCAATGACCGGTGTTGAAGATCATGATATTGGCACCTTTCCATTTCTTGGCTGAGGCACAGATCTTGTCAAGATTGAGAACGCTGGTACCATTTGCATGGTCCACCTCTAGTTGAACTAGAAACGGGCTCCAATAGAATTCGACGGAGCAATTGTAGTTCTGCAACATTACCCGTTGCTTTGCATCACCAAACCGTACAATAATTCTCAAAAGACTCGTAACATTGAGAACTATCTAAGAGATATTCGCGGTGAGTGTAGGTCAACTATTTTACTAACCTTTGTGCGAAAGACCTTGTACATGCCATCTCTGACCTCAACATGGGCATCAGATGAGGCAATGGATGAGTAAAGAAGACAAGCAAGTGATTCCCACTGATTCCTGTTAAGTGAGTCCCCAACTATGATCACTCTCTTCCCTCTTAGGCTCTCTAACATATCTGTTCCATTGAACCTGAAAATGAACATCTCTACTCTTTCATTAAGAGGTCATTGCACAAAATATGATAATATACTCTCCTAGTCAAAATTCAAAAGTTACTTGGTAATCGACATGAAAAGTGCACGGTCATTGGTTAAGTTCGTCACTTGTACAAGCTGAATTCAAACTACTTTGCTACCTGTGCTAAAATTTTATGTCATGCAAAGGAATTTAAAAGATGTCACGGCTTACCTGGGAATAGCACATCGGTTCCCTTCCCAACTCCATCTCTCATACTGAGAGTCGGGTCTACCGTTTTTTTGACAACTCACCTGGTTGCTTAGAAAGGGACACTGAGCTCCGTTGTAAAGAGGGCTCGCTTTCGGATCGTAAATCCATTTTCCATCAAATATGTCACACCCTTTTTGTTCCTCGTGCTCCAGCTCCCTGCTTTCCTTGAAGCTGAGTGAATTAGACGATTGATTGGTAGGTGATGGAAATAGGTCTATTGAGGTTGCGACCAACACTGCAGAGCTCCGTGGGCTCGACAGATCTACGGAGTCGTGGCCCTGCTTGAGGAGAAGAACTAACAAGACTACTCCAAGAAAGCTAGCTAGAGTGCAAATTCTCCATCTGCTATCGATATTGGTTGAGCCAATATCCATCTCTAAGCACAATATTAACCGGAAAGCAACTATCTGCAGAGGGAGCACAGAAGCCAATTGAGTCAATTCAAGTATCAAGCTTGGTTTACAAGATAATGATTCGGGTGCCAGTTGCACCAGTATAAAACAGTTCGCAGGTGGTGTTTATGTATAGAAGAAGTAGCAGGTACAATTTGGTTTGGGTTAATCAATAGTTTCACTTCAGTAAATATAATATTTGCGTTAGTTGGGTGGTAGATACAACGAAACCACTTTGAAGGCCTCGTTTTCAACTACTCATGGATTATGAAACCCATTTCTTGCCAACTCTTGACCATCCTGAACTGGTTCTTTAACAAAAAAGTGAATAACATGAGGCCCATGTCATCCCATTCTGCACTTTTGCAGCACAACTACTAACTGAAAATATAATATCTGATTTGATCTCATCCATTTTCATTTCTCAAGAAAACACTAACCTACAGATCAGCTACCTTTTCGGGGTCAATAGCATGCAAGTTTTCTCTAAGTCTGAGTTGACAGCTCCATGCATAGTTGACTATCCGAGCTTTAAATGCCACCACGCAATTCCGTACGGTCTCTCCAAATACCTATCGACTATGAGGTGATGAGATGATAAGATTATTCACACGCTACTACATTATGAACATAGTAAAGAACTTCATGTCGGTCAATCAATTAGTGGTACCACAGATCCAATCCCAACACTCATATATACACAGAGTGAGCTAGGCAAAATTGAACTATGTGATGACGCCGTTTTCTGAACCGTGTAATCCTTGTTAAGAAAGCCCTGGATTTAGATTTTGCCCCGGCAAGAACTACATATCTTCGGTTAGCCAAGGAACATGTCATTGTCCCTTTTGTGTACAAAGGCAGAGGACGACTGTGACAAGTAGATGAGCAAGGAGCATTAGTCGCCCAAACCTGTTATTTAATAGAGGACGACTGGCCGGTTGTCGATATCGATGCATGCAAATCAATGGTGTTGCATGTTCGTTGATCGTGACGAAAGTCTCCGTTGTGGCACGTTGGGTTTTCGCTTGCTTGTCCCTCTCGATGCTCGAAAATGGTTGCTCTCAAAACTACAAAAGACTAGTTGCGACTTCCGATCCCACGACAAGATGGCCAAAAGTCCCTTTTGTGTTACTAAAATTCTGTGGATGACCTTATCAATAGACGTGAACTTTGAATAATAGATAACTTATATGAATCATATCAAGTAGCTTTTTCAAAATGATTGAGATCTAGAACTTGCTGAAGTAGAATATATGATCACACTCAATATATATCTCACTTTTTGATTTGAATTGATTAGTATGGAATCTCTTCATCTTATCACTTATCTCAATGGGTAATTCAAAGCATAAATGATCAACTTATTTATCTTATCTATAGTGCGGACATGGAAACAACGTTGGCGATGCGCAGGCGAGATATGAAAATTTGTGTGAAATTTCTTAACTACATATAACGAAAAATTACACCAAGCATCAACGGCCAAGTGTCCTGAACACAAGGCCTACTCACTCATCCTTCATTTTTCTTACTGTGCTAACCCCTTTTCATTAAGAAAACCCTTTTTATTGGTTTTTTCAAATTTATGCATCTTTCTGTTTTCGATTTCGCAAATGCTCTCGGTGAGTGCAACACCATGAATTAAATTTCAAGGAAACTTGCGTCTTGCTTGAGGTGATACAACCAGAGTGATTTAGTAACAGTAGTTCGAAATTCTATCTTTATCCAATTTTTCATCCATTTATCTTTATTCAGCTTCAACAATTAATCTATAAGAAGATATGGCTAGACCGTAAATTATTCACCAATTTGAAATTATTGTTGTTCTTAACAGATCTCACGAGCTAGAGAAAGTGTGGGGAAAGAATTAATTTTCATTTATGCTCCAATATTATTTTCAATACAAGACCGAAATTTTTTTTAACTCTTACTGCTTACATTAGGATGTCTTATCTGACCTTTACCTTTAGCAGAATAAAGCTTTTCAACTGCAGAGACTCGCACTACAATACCGTGGCACAGGGGGGGTTATTGGGGTAGGGGCGAGAGACAGTAAAAGCCAGAAAAAATATTTACATGGACAAAAAAAACTGCATAGCTTGCTGGAAATATGTCTCAGTTCATTAAATTTAAGCGGCTGCATCGCCAAGTCCTGAGTTTCGACTAGGGAGAAGAAAACGACCTACATTTGTGAATAAATAAGTGCAATGTCAAGAAATTGCATGGTGTTTGCAGAAAATTGGGATCTTTTTTTGCAAATAACTAGGCCGGGAAGTGGAAGAAGCTCTGGTTGTCCTGCGTGAACCCGGCCCCTACCAGCAATTACCGCATCCTCCGGCACGTTTTTGCGGCTGATGAGGTGGTTGATTTCCACTTGGTCGAGGATACCACGATCGTTAAAGTATTCCCGCAGTAAACTGAATGCCTTTGTTTCCTCCAGCGTATTCAGAACTAAGACTTCATGCATCCTGATCAAATCGATCACCTCGTTCTGATTATTCCGAGCCGCAGCTAGTGATGCTTCGGCATACTGGCGTTCGAATTGGCTGAAGACATAAAAGAAAATA